TGACTTCTTCCAGACCTTCTCCCCTACCCCGAAGATGACCACTCTTCGGGTGCTGCTGCACGTCGCCTCTCAGCGTGACTACGAACTACACTCTCTTGACTTCAGCACAGCCTTCCTACGGGGCAGCCTGCACAAGGAGATCTGGCTGCGCCGCCCACCTGGCTTCACTGGGTCGTTTCCTGCTGGTACCCAGTGGAGCCTCCGGCGGCCAGTCTACGGCAGGCACCCCGTGAGTGGCACGACACACTGAGGACGCTCTTGCTGCTCTTGATTTTGCTCCTTCCACTGCTGACCCGTCGCTGTTTCTACGCACCGACGCCACTCTGCCGCCGTTCTACGTTCTCGTGTACATAGACGACTTGGACTTTGCTACTGCTGACACTGAGGCACTCGCCCACGTGAAGTCGGAGCTGTAGAAGAGACACACGTGCACAGACCTGGGTGAACTGACAATCTATCTTGGCTTGCGGATCACCCGGGACAGAGCACAGCGCACCATTACCTTGACTCAGTCACACATGGTGCAGCAGGTCCTTCAGCCCTTCGGCTTCACGTACTTCTCGCCACAGTCCACTCCTCTGCCTACCGGTCACTCGCTCTCAGCTCCACCTTCGAACGAGTCTGTAGAGCCGAGTGGCCCGTATCCAGAGCTTGTGGGCTGCCTCATGTACCTGATGACTTGCACACGACCTGACCTCGCGTACCCTCTCAGACTTCTGGCTCGCTTCGTGGCTCCCGGCAGGCACCGAAAGGTGCACTGGGATGCTGCGAAAAGGGTGTTGCGCTACCTGTGCAGTACGTCGGGCATGGGGCTAGTGCTTGGAGGACGGGCTCGAGTTGTCCCCACTGGTCACGAAGACGCTTCCTGGGATAACGTCCTTGGCTACGCAGCGGTCGTCACAGGGTTACACCTTCAGCCTTGGCTCCGGTTCTGTCTCTTGGCGGTCTACCCGCTCGTCTTCTGTTCTCAGCTCCAGTTGTGAGGCTGAGATCTACGCTGGGGCCATGGCTGCACAGGAGTTACGCTGGCTCACCTACCTGCAGACCGACTTGGGAGAGGCGCCTTGTCTCCTCCAGTTCTGTACGTCGACAACAAGGCCATGCTTGCCTTGTGTCAGGAGCACAGACTGGAGCACAGAACGAAACACATTGCTCTGCGCTACTTCCTTGCTCGAGAGTTGCAGCAGCGTTGTCAGCTTCATCTTGCTTACGTGGCCTCTCGGGCCAACACTGCTGATGTTTTCACCAAGGCACTTCAGCCTTGTGATCATCAGCGTTTCTGTACTATTCTAGGCCTTGTACCTACTGTGCCTTTGTTGCTTACTTCTTGACTCTACTTGTTCTGTGATCTCTTTACATATACCTATATGCTTACACTTGCTAGGTTGTGATCACTGTATTGCTTGTTCTCCTTTACATAAACCCACTTTGCCTATGGGGGTGTGTCAAACTTATATGCTATAGTCTGTTTAGGCTGTAGTGGGGTAGTTCATATAGGGTACAACATTTCTAGGTTTCCTACCTGTACCCATCTGCTTGCTAGTTCAGTCACTTCATTCGTTCATGATTCTGACAAGTAACCCAGTTACTCTATGTACACACCATATGGGTAAGTAATGCCATTAATTTTGATACCAACCGTATGGGTAAGTAACGCAGTTACTCTCAGTCCCAACCATATGGGTAAGTAACGCACTAACTTATGGTACCAACTATACGAGTATGTAATGCACGTACTATTAGTATTTACCATATCGGTAGGTAATGCATTTTCTCTTGGTTCAAACCATATGGGAAATTAACGCAGTTACGCTTGGTACAACCCATATGGGTAAGTCACGCAGTTACTCTTGGCGTCAACCAAATTGGTAAGTAACGCAATTACTCTTGGTACCAACCTTATAGGTAAGTAACGCAGTCACTCTTGGTACCAATTACATGGGTAAGTTACGCATTTACTATATGTATTTACCATATGGGTAATTAACGCAATTAGTCTTGGTACAAACCATACAGGGAAGTAACGCAGTTACTGTTGGCACCAACCATATGGGTAAGTAACGCAATTACTGTTGGTACCAACCTTCTGAGTAAGTAACGCACTAACTCTTGGTACCAACCATATGGATAAGTAAAGCATTTACTATTGACACCAACCCTATGGGTAAGTAACGCAGTTACTTTGGTACCAACCATATAGGTATGTAATGCACTTACTCTTGGTACCAACCCTATGGGTATGTAATGCACTTACTCTTGCTACCAACTAAATGGGTAAGTAATGCACTTACTATTAGTACTAACCATATGGGTAGGTAACGCATTTACTCTTGGTACAGACCATATGGGTAAGTAATGCAGTTACTCTTCGCACCAACCATATGGATAAGTAACGCAATTACTCTTGGTACCAACCGTATAGGTAAGTAACGCACTTACTCTTTGTACCAACCATACGGGTACGTTATGTAGTTACTCTTGGTACCAACTATCTGGGTAAGTAACGTAGTTGCTCTTGGTACCTGACATATGGGTAAGTAGCGCAATAACTCTTGGTACCAACCATATGAATAAGTAACGAAGTTACTCTTGGTACCAACCATATGGGTAAGTAACGCACTAATTCATGGTACATCTATATGGGTAAGTAACGCACTTACTATTAGTACTAACCATCTGGGTAGGTAACGCATTTACTCTTGGTACAAACCATATGGGTAAGTAACGCAGTTACTCTATGTACACACCATATGGGTAAATAATGCCGTTACTTTTGATACCAACGGTATGGGTAAGTAACGCAGTTACACTCGGTACCAACCATATGGGTAAGTAACGCACTAACTTATGGTACCAACTATACGAGTATGTAATGCACGTACTATTAGTATTTACCATATAGGTAGGTAACGCATTTTCTCTTGGTTCAAACCATATGGGAAATTAATGCAGTTACGCTTGGTACAAACCATATGGGTAAGTAACGCAGTTACTCTTGGCGTCAACCAAATTGGTAGGTAACGCAATAACTCTTGGTACCAACCTTATAGGTAAGTAACGCAGTCACTCTTGGTACCAACTACATGGGTAAGTTACGCATGTACTATATGTACTTACCATATGGGTAATTAACGCAGTTATTCTTGGTACAAACCATATGGGTAAGTAACGCAATTACTCTTGGCACCAACCATATGGGTAAATAAAGCAATTTCTCTTGGTACCAACCTTATGGGTAAGTACAGACTTATTATTTGTACCAACCATATGGGTAAGTTATGCAGTTACTCTTGGTACCAACCACATGGGTAAGTAAAACAAGTACTCTGGGTACCAACCATATGGATAAGTAACGCATTTACTATTGATACCAACCATATGGGTAAGTATCATAGTTACCCTCGGTAAGTAACGCACGTACTCTTTGTACCAACCATATGGGTAGGTAGCGCACCTACTCTTCGTACAAACCATATAGGTAAGTAACGCAATTACTCCTGGTACCAAGCTTGTGGGTAAGTAACGCACTAACTCATGGTACCAACTGTATGGGTAAGTAATGCAATTACTCTTGGCGCCAACCATATGGGTAAATAAAGCTATTATTCTTGGTACCAACCTTATGGGTAAGTAACGCACTTACTCTTGGTAATAAACATATGGATAACAAACGCAGATACGCTCGGTACCAACCATATGGGTAAGTAATGCACGTACTCTTGGTACCAACCATATGGGTTAGTAACGCACTTACTCTTGGTACCAACTATATGGGTAACTAACGCACTTACTACTAGTACCTACCATATGGGTAAGTAACGCAATTACTCTTGGTACAAACCATATAGGTATGTAACGCAGTTACTCTCGGCACCAACCATATGGGTAAGTAAAGCAATTACTCTTCGTACCATCCTTCTGGGTAAATAACGAACTTACTCTTGGTACCAACCATACGGGTAAGTTATGGAATTACTATTGGTATCAACCATATAGTTCTTACCAAGAGTAAGTGCATTTTTTACCCATATGGTTGGTACAAAGAGTAAGTGCGTTACTTACCCATATGGTTGGTACCAAGAGAAAATGCGTTACTTACCCATATCATTATACAAAGATTAATTACGTTACTTACCTTTATGGTTATTGCGAAGAGTTAATGCATTAATTACTCTTATGATTTGTACCAAGAGTAAGTGCGTTACTTACCCATATGGTTGGTACTAAGAGTAAGTACGTTACTTACCCAAAAGGTTGGTAGCAAGAGTAATTGCGTAACTTACCTATATGGTTGGTACCAAGAGTAACTGCGTTACTTATCTATATGGTTTATACCAAAAGTAATTGCGTTACCTGTTAGAATATTGACCGAATGAATGAATGAACTAGCAAGCAGGTGGGTACAAGTAGGAAACCTAAAAGTGTTGTCCCCTATAAAAACTACCTCACTACAGCCTAGATAGACTATAGCATATATGTTCGACACACCCCCATAGGCAAACTGGGCGACAACAAGAGGTCACAAGACCAATCAAGAAAGGCAAAGCAAGCTCAGGGTGGATCACAAAGTCACCAGACATTCTTAGCACAAGCAAACTGCCACAAGGCCAGTTCACATGCAGAGTTATTTAAAGGAAAACAAACAATACAGTGAACACAACCTAGCAAGTGTATGCATGCATGTATATGGATATAGAATACAGTACAAGCAGAGTCAACAAGAAGCAAGCGAGGCACAGTAGGTACAAGGCCTAGAACAGTACAGATACGCTGATGATCACAAGGCTGAAGTGCCTTGGTGAAAACATCAGCAGTGTTGGTGAGGCACGGTGCGGTGCGGTGGGTGGCATGGTGAGGGACAATGCAGGGGAGGGGAGGAGTGGAGGGCGACGGAAGAGGAGCTGTCTCTGAGGAGCTGTCTCTGAGGACTATGGGCTGAGGGGCGGGCTAGGGGGCAAGAGGGGCGCGGTCGATTCAACAAATCCCCTCTGTTCCCTTGCATGCCTTTCCACCCGCCCCTGCGCTGTGCTTGGCACGCCCGGCAGGTGCGCACGGTGCTGTCAGACAAAACAGGCACGCTGACACGCAACCAGATGGAGTTCTTCAAGTGCTCCATCGCCGGCACGCCCTACGGCATGGGCGTCACCGAGGTCGAGAAGGCCGCCGCCCAGCGCGCAGGCCGCCCTCCCCCAGAAGAGGACGAGGACGACGACCAGGTGTATGTCCCCGAACGCCCCCTGGAGAAGGGCTTTAACATGCGCGACCCGCGGCTGGACGGCATGAAGTGGGTGGAGCAGCCGTGCGCCGATGAGATCCGACGGTTCCTGGAGGTACTGTCCGTGTGCCACACCGTCGTGGTGGACACGGCTCCCATTGAGCGCGCTGCTAGCAGTAACATCTTTGCCATGGGTAGTGCTGCTGGCGTGGGGAGTGGGGGTGTGTTGGGGAGTGGCGCAGGGGGGATGAAGAGCAGCAGCAGCAGCAGCAGCGTGAGCGTGGCGAGTGCGGGTTCCAGTGTGAGAGGCGGGGCGGCCAGTGCAAGCGCAGGCGGAGGGGGCACGCCGCTGCTGCCAGGGGAAGGGGGAGGCGGGGGAGAGACACCACTGATGCCGGGGGGGGAGGAGGCGGTGGATGGCGAGGCGGTGAGGTTCCTGGCGGAGTCGCCTGACGAGGCGGCGTTTGTGGTGGCGGCCAAGCGCCTGGGGTTCCTGTTCCTGGGGCGCCAGGGCAACGAGCTCAAAGTGCGCGAGTACGGGGCATGCTGGAGTGTGGTGCAGGACCGCTCCTATGAGCTGCTCAACACTCTCGAGTTCACCAGCCACCGGTGAGTGACGCTTTTTTTTTTCTTCTTTTTAACTTCTGCTTCTTTCCGTCCTCGTTTCCGTCACAACCCCCCGTCCGTCTCTTTCCTCTTCCCTATCGCCCTTATTTCTCACTCGTTTCATTGGCCTTATTCCCAACACTTTTGCCTCCACCCCCTTTTACCCGGCCTTTTTCCTCCCCTCTTCTCTCCCCCTGCTTTTTTCCCTCTTGTACCCCACGCATTTACCCCCACTTTTTAGCCCATTCTCTTACCTCACTCTTTTTCCGACCCCCTTGCACCCCCCATGGTGCGCGCAGCAAGCGCATGTCAGTGGTGGTGCGCACGCCAGAGGGGCGCCTGCTGCTGCTCTGCAAGGGCGCCGACAGCGTCATCATGGACCGCCTCTCCGCCTCCGAGCACGCACAGAAGTACCGGCCAATCACGGAGCGCCACATGACCATGTACGCGGAGGCGGGGCTGAGAACGCTGGCGATCGCGTGGAGGGAGGTGTGCGAGGAGGAGTATGCGGCGTGGCAGCAGCGGTGGGTGGAGGCGAAGGGGTACGTGGCAGACGCGGGTGTGCAGGCGGAGCGGCTGGAGGCGCTGGCTGACGAGCTGGAGAGTGGACTCGTGCTTGTGGGGGCTACTGCCATTGAGGACAAGCTGCAGGTGAGCAAGGCCGGCAGGTAGGGGCGGCCGGCAGGTGGGGGCAGCCTGCAGGTGGGGGTGGCCTGCAGGTGGGGGCGGCCGGCAGGTGGGGGCGGCCGGCAGGTGGGGGCGGCCGGCAGGTGGGGGCGGGCTGCAGGTGGGGGCGGCCGGCAGGTGGGGGCGGCCGGCAGGTGGGGGCGGGCTGCAGGTGGAGCGCACGAGAGGGCGGAGAAGCTGTGGCTGTGGGCCGCCGTCTCACCAGCTGCGTCCACAAGTGGGAGTCCAGCAGGCCATCGAGTCACTGCTGCGCTCCTCCTGTCCTCATCCTCCCATGCTCCTCCCCCTGTTCCCTTTCTGCCCCCTCGCCTGCTTCTTCCTCCTGCTTCCCCCGATGCCTGCTCCAGGTGGGAGTACCGCAGGCAATAGAGACGTTGGCGCAGGCGGGGATAAAGCTGTGGGTGCTGACGGGGGACAAGCTGGAGACGGCCATCAACATCGGGTTCGCGTGCAGCCTGCTGCGCCACCACATGCAGCAGCACCTCGTCTTCCTCGAGGACAACGACGCCGCCGCCAAGGAGGCTGCCAGAAGGGGCGTACCACTCAAGGAGGTGAGTGACACCGCTGTTGTGCTGTGCTGTGCTGTGCGGTGCTGTGCGGTGCTGTGCTGTGCTGTGCGGTGCTGTGCTGTGCTGTGCTGTGCTGTGCTGTGCTGTGCGGTGCTGTGCTGTGCTGTGCTGTGCTGTGCTGTGCTGTGCGGTGCTGTGCGGTGCTGTGCTGTGCTGTGCTGTGCTGTGCTGTGCGGTGCGGTGCTGTGCTGTGCTGTGCTGTGCTGTGCGGTGCGGTGCGGTGCTGTGCTGTGCTGTGCTGTGCTGTGCGGTGCGGTGCGGTGCGGTGCTGTGCTGTGCTGTGCGGTGCGGTGCGGTGCGGTGCGGTGCGGTGCTGTGCTGTGCTGTGCGGTGCGGTGCGGTGCTGTGCGGTGCGGTGCGGTGCTGTGCTGTGCTGTGTGGTGCTGTGCTGTGTTGTGATGTGCTGTGCTGTGCGGTGCTGTGCTGTGCTGTGCGGTGTTGTGCATACTAAAGGGCATGTTGCTGCCTGCCTGTCCCTGGGTCGATTCAAATGCTCCTGCCAGTTGCCTTAGATGTTGTTTTTCTGTCACAGTGCAATCGTCTCTTCCAATCCATAACCCCATGTTTACTTCTCCACACTTCCCGCTCCGCTACACCCAACCCTTCCACGCTCCTGCCCTCCGCACCCATTTTTACTTCCCCCACCTACACTTTCTGTTGCGTGCTCAACTTTTTGGCAGCTCTGACTCACTGATTGACGAACCACTCCCTCTCCTCAACGCCTTCTCACTCCCCACCCCACTCCCTCCCCAACTCCTTATTGCGCCCTCCCTGCCCCCCCCCTTGGTTTCCGCGTGCTGCAGTTTGCAGCGGAGTTGGTGCGGTCGCAGATCCTGGCAGCCAGTGAGTCCGTGCATGGCGCACAGTGGGCACGCGCACAGCAGGCAGGCACCACAACGGCCACTGGGACAACCAGCAACCGTGCCGATAACCCTGCGCAGGAGCACAGCGGGGACGGGGGCGGAAGCGAGGGAGGAAGTGGGAGTGAGAGTGGGAGTGAGGGCGGGGCGGCACAGGAGCATGCGGTGGTGATAGACGGCAAGGCACTGGCGCTGGTGCTGGCGAACGATGCTCTGCGCGCTGCCTTCCTGGAGCTGGCTCTGCAGTGCGCGTCCGTCATCTGCTGCCGCGTGTCGCCCAAGCAGAAGGCGCAGGTGACGGCCATGGTGCGGCGCGAGGGCAAGCAGATCTGCCTCGCCATTGGAGATGGGGCTAACGACGTGGGCATGATTCAAAAGGCGAATATTGGTGTGGGCATCCGCGGCGAGGAGGGACAGCAGGTGGGGGGAATGGTTTGTTGGCGGACTGTGGACAGTGGGCAGTAAGGGCGTGTTTGGTGTGGGTGTGAGTGACATGAGCATGGTTCAGACGGGAAGAACTAGCATTGGGATTCAGGGGGAGGACTGACAGCAGGTGCAGCAGGAGACAGGGAGGTGGGAAGCGAGGAGAGACACAGTGGCTTCCTGGCCTGCATGTGAGTGTATCTGAGACGCATCAGAAGTGGGGATGTGAGGAGCAGGGCGCGTAGTCTTGTGGCACGGAGGAATAACAAATGCAGCATGCATGCTACAGCATGGCATGGCTGCCCCTGCTGTGACAGCCATTGTGTGCCACCCATTATGTCTCCATGCACCAGCATTCATCGCCTATTCATCGCCCATTCATCGCCCATTCATCGCCCCACATGTTCGCTGTGCTGCTGACCTCGTGCGTGTCTCCCATGGCCAGGCTGTCATGGCGTCAGACTTCGCCATTGGTCAGTTCAGATTCCTGGAGAGGCTGCTATTGGTGCACGGGGGATGGTGCTACAAGCGCATCTGCATTCTGGTCAGTGCGCATACCATCCCATGCCATCCCATGCCATCCCATACCATCCCATGCCATCCCATGCCATCCCATGCCATCCCATGCCATCCCATGCCATCCCATGCCATCCCACGCCATCCCATGCCATCCCATGCCATCCCACGCCATCCCATGCCATCCCATACCATCCCACGCCATCCCATGCCATCCCATGCCATCCCATGCCATCCCATGCCATCCCATGCCATCCCATGCCATCCCATGCCATCCCATGCCATCCCATACTATCCCACGCCATCCCATGCCATCCCATGCCATCCCATGCCATCCCATGCCATCCCATGCCATCCCATGCCATCCCACGCCATCCCACGCCATCCCATGCCATCCCACGCCATCCCATGCCATCCCATGCCATCCCATACCATCCCATGCCATCCCATACCATCCCGCGCCATCCCATGCCATCCCATGCCATCCCATGCCATCCCATGCCATCCCATGCCATCCCATGCCATCCCACGCCATCCCATGCCATCCCATGCCATCCCATGCCATCCCATGCCATCCCATGCCATCCCATGCCATCCCACGCCATCCCATGCCATCCCATGCCACTCCATGCCATCCCGCGCCATCCCATGCCATCCCATACCATCCCGCGCCATCCCATGCCATCCCATGTCTTTCCGTTCTTTGTATCCCATCCTATTTCACCCCATTCCACCCCATCCCACCCCCCCCCGCCCCACGCAGATAACCTATTTCTTCTACAAGTGTTTTGTGTTCGCGTTCACCATCCTCTTCTACAACTGCCTTGCATACTTCTCCGGCACGGCGGTGTACTACGACTGGTACCTCACACTCTTCATGGTCTTCTTCACCTCACTGCCCATCGGTGTGGTGGGCGTCATGGACCAGGACGTCAAGGCCGTCTACCGCCTGCGCTACCCGCAGCTGTACAAGGAGGTGGGTGGGCACCGGGTATGAGCGTGTGGGGCAGCTCTTCGCCCAGGTGGGTGCTTCAGGGCGTGTGGGGCAGCTGTGTGGACACGTGTGTCATGCTTCCTTGCTCCCTACACACCACACCCCTTTGAAAATCAAAACTTTTGCAGTTGGATGGCCAGGTGTTTCACTAGCATAAGCAAGTGGGAGAAACCAATATTAACAGCCTAACCACCTAGACGAGGTTGTGGGTGGCCACTTGTGGTGGCTGTGCCAACACACCCATGTGGGGCGATCAAACCAACACATTAAGGCTCTCTGCCCGTACATGTGGCACCATTTTGGGCAGCAAAGAGGGGCAGAGGGCTAGAACTAAGGCGGAGTTCTAACCCTTCCTCTCTCGCTCCCCCCTCCCTCCTGCCTGCCCCACAGGGCCAGCGCAACGAGTACTTCTCAGTGTTGAACGTGGCGAGCTGGATGGTGAACGGGCTGGTGCAGGCCGCCATCATCTTCACGCTCACGCTGCTGCCCTTCGCCCTCGTGCCCGACCGCAGCAGCGGGCTCATCCTGGACCTCACTGCCATCGGTACCATCATGTATGCTGCCGTCGTCACCACCGTCAACCTTGAACTCGGCTCCAACGTGCAGGTGACGTGTCTGTGCTGCCGGGCCTTGGTGTTGCTGTGCTGTGCGCATGAGGGAGTGTGCGGACGGATTTGGTAGTGACGGCATGGCAGAAGCATGTGTGTGCAAGGGAGTGCCGTGTGGCTCACAGTCCTCCGTACCGCACCGCACCAGCCTTCCAGACTGCGTGCCAGCCTTCCAGACTGCGTACCAGCCTTCCAGACTGCGTACCAGCCTTCCAGACTGCGTACCAGCCTTCCAGACTGCGTACCAGCCTTCCAGACTGCGTGCCAGCCTTCCAGACTGCGTACCAGCCTTCCAGAGTGCGTACCAGCCTTCCAGACTGCGTACCAGCCTTCCAGACTGCGTGCCAGCCTTCCAGACTGCGTACCAGCCTTCCAGACTGCGTACCAGCCTTCCAGACTGCGTACCAGCCTTCCAGACTGCGTACCAGCCTTCCAGACTGCGTACCAGCCTTCCAGACTGCGTGCCCTTCCTCGCCTTCTAGTTTCTCCCGCTTTCCTTCATCCCTGCCCTCCCACCCAAACATCATTCCGACGTTTTCAAAACGCATGTCTCCAAGCAACACAACCACTAACATGCAAATGCACTCCCTTTCTTTCTTGCTTTCCCCTCTTTCCCCCTCCCCCTCTCCTCCCTCTCCCCCCCTCTCCGTCCCCTTACATTTGCCTCCCCACCAACAGTATTGGAACGCATTGCATTTCATCACCATATTCGGCTCCATCCTCTTCTTCTTCGTCCTCATGACGGTCGGCAGCTACCTGCCCGCCAAGTGGGTGGGCAATCTCGTGGGCGTGGCCGGCCAGCTGCTGCCCGCCGCCAGCTTCTGGCTCAACCTGCTGCTCGCCGTCATCGCCGCCATGCTGCCCTCCTACGCTATCCGCGGGATCTGGAGGTGAGGCTTGGCGGTGCTGGGTCGGGATGGGAGGGATGGGCAACCTTGATACCTCGTATATTATCTGCTCAGTCTCGCGCTGCATTCTGCTCTCCGTCTCCCCCAGCCATGTGTGTCCAGGAAACGAGCAGCTGGTGCAGTGGATCAAGTGAAAAGGGAAGCAGTGGGAGTTGTGGAGGTCAATACTGTGGCGCCTCAACCACTCTCAACCCCTTCATCCCTGATGCTCACTCTCTCTTCCCCTCTCACCCCACCGCCTGCTGTATCTCGTGGCAGGCATGTATGCCCGGGTGACCACGAGGTGGTGCAGGAGATTGAGCGCAGAGAGAGGCGGCGACGGTTGATGCGGCTCTCCACCATGGCACGCCACATGTGCGCCGGTGCACCGCTTGTGACCAATCACGGCGCAAGTGGCGCTGCTGACGTGGAGAGGTCGGCTCATGGCTCTGCTGGTAGCGATGACAGTGGGGAGGGGAAGGGGAAGGGGAAAAAGAAGGGGGTGGGTGGGGTGGGGAACGGGGTTGTGGGAGAGTACCAGGTGGCAGCAGAGCAGGGTCCGAGTGTGGCTGAGGAGTTGAGACACAGACACAGCAGCAGCAGAGACACTCAGCAGTAACCTCACGGATGTACCATAGCCAATAGGCATCCAGTACCTTGGTACCAAATGAGAAAATGCCAAATGGGTACCGTATCTGTTAGTGCTGGATTGGTGGCAGCAGAAGATGGCCAGGAGGGGTCAGTTGTTGTCAAGCTTCAGGTGCATCTGGAATGTGTGGATGCCAATTATATCTCAATGAGTAATGCAGTTTGTCCTGGTGGTGGTGTTAGCAGATAATTTGATCATGTGATCCTTCAAACGAATTCAGATCAGAGTACCGGTACCAGTATATTTGCAAGTCCAATCTGTCATTGATGGTATACTAGTAACACCCAGCATCAGCATGTTGGAAAAAAAAACCGGCTACACTTTATGTATCACGGTATGAACTCCACCATGTTACCTATGGAATACCGGTACCACGTACGTATCCCTGCCTAGTGTCAAGAAGTTGGTGTCAAGAAGTGTGCGCACCCGATTGGTCCAAAACAAATGTCCGGCCAATGCGATTGGTCAAGCGTTTTTTTTAGCCAATCGCGTGCGCAAAATTCTTGACACCAACTTCTTGACACTAGGCAGGGATACAACCTTAGGATGTGCTAGAAGCCTTCCAGATATTCGAGAGTACTTAGCTTTCTAAGCCAAGGACGCGGCGAGCTTGATATGCGCTGACACGGCGAGCAGCTCAGGGAAGGTCAGCGGAACAACCGGCGGCTTGAAGCCGTTGGGATAGCGTTCGTCACGGAGAAACGACTTGAGGTAGTTAATCGGAACAGCGTAAGCGCGGACCCTCCCGCCGAACACCCCTGCCAGCGCCGCCGCTTCGGAGAGCGCCACATCTTGGCGATTCGAGTCGAAACTGATCTCGGGATTGTTCTTCTTGCAAAAGGCAAAGCGGTGCTTGCGGAAGCGGCCAATCTCGCCGAGAGTGATGAATTTCTTCGTCGCGGAGAAGCCGAGCATTTCGTTGAAGAGCGTTACGTTAATGAGGTAGTTGTTACCGAGGTAGGAATCATCGCGGACGAGCGACACGTCGTGCTCGATCTTGTTGTGCGCGCGGAGCTGCACGAGGTTAATTGTCTGCGCCGCGGGGTCCCCCACGCCTTTCGCGAAGGCGGAATCGAGAATGGCGTTCGACATGGTCGGGGAGAAGGAGTAGAACTTGCTAAAGGCGGCGACGATGCGGTCGCGCGGAATGGCGGAGCCGTCGCGCGGAAAGACGCCGTGGTTCGCCATCGTGTTGAATCCTGGGCACGGGCCTCGAGTGGTCGTAGGGTCCGGCGGCGGGACGTACGGGCCGAGTTTCAACGCGGTGGTTGACGGGGCGAGCAGCGCGGCGAGCGCTGCTATGAGCTTCGCGAGCGCGAAAGAGCGACATGGCTCCGTGATAAGGAAAGGGTTTGGCCTGGAAGAGCGGCTCTTGTGAGAGTAAGAGAACATTTTCTGAGGCATGGCGTAGCGAACAGTTACCAGCCAATACAGGAACAGTTGCTACTATCTGAATGGAGCAAAGAAAAGGTTTAGAGGCAGGCAGCTGCTTTCATGGTAGAAAAAGCCCGAGATTGCGAGGCGAGGACGAAGGTGCAATTTGGAAAACCAGCAAAATGAGGAATGAGGGGAGTTCAAGAAGAGAAAAGGCTTGAAGTGGCGTACAGATGGTGCTGAGACTGGTTGGCTTCGGTTAGGGTGACCGCGCGCTGCGAAACAGATCTTGGAAGTGGTCGGCGGAACAAGAAGGAGCACACCGCATGGCAGCCGAAGCGGAGTAACGCGGATTTGAAGGGCTGGGGGGGGGGGGTGGGGGATGTTTCTACACGCCTAGGTTCGGGGGCGGAGCACAGTGACTGTGCGCCGTCGGTCCTTGCCGGCCGTGTGTGCGGCTCTCCTCCTTCCCCCGATTTCGCTTTCGCCCTCCACTCAGAAAGATGGCGTGCAACCTGACGACGCCCTCAGTCAATCACTGTTAGTTTCGTTTGAAAATTCGCGACATTTCGTGAGTCTCTCTATATATTTATACACATATGGCTGGTAGTACACTATAGCAAGCATTAAGCACAGTCGCAACTGCCTTTCGCGAGTCAAGCGTTAATAAAGGGAAAGTATGTCATTCGTAACCATCATGGGACTCGATAACATTTTTGGAAAAAGAATAAAGGGTACGGTCACTGCAAAGGTGTTTTCACGCAACTGATAAAACGTTTCACAGAATCAGTCACTATCAACTGGTAAAAAAAAACCGCGAATGGTCACAGATGAGACTCTCGCCCAAAAAAGATAATACCCAAAACGAACCTGGATGCATTTTCGGATGAATCAACCCTAAACACAATTCGCCAGGTGTCTAGGGTTGATCCGTTCCCAAACCGCATCCGATTCCGATTGGGTTTTAGTTGATTTGAAATTAGCTGATTGGTTGGGTGCGAGCGGGAATATTGTTGAGTTTCAAGATTTTTTTGCGGGAGCGACATGTGTGACCATTCGCGTGATTTTTTACCTATTGTTAGTGACTGAATCCGTGACCCCACTTACCCAACCCGTCAGCAAACCCGATACGGTGACCGTACGCGTTACTTTTTTACCTTTCACGTTATCGAGTCCAATGATGGTTACATGTGACATATTCTCCCTTCATGAAAAACTCCGACCGCACGACCACATGTTCGATGACAAAACGGCAGGACTTTTGCACCAACCGAACCCAGTCTAGATGGAACGCAAGTCGGGGAAAGTGCTTGTAGCAAGTCTGCTTCCACATGGCTGCACGCGTTGAGGTGTAAGCATCTCCACCAACCGTCTCAGAATTCATCGGATTGCACCACACCATACTGAAACAACAGCTTTTTTCAGCCATCCCAAAAGTCCTGCCAAGCCTGCCCTCACCACCAACCGCATCCGTCGCGTCGCATGTCCTACAACTGAATCTATGAGGTTCGGGTGCAACCCCTCCTCCCTACTGCAGAAACCCGAACCAGAATAAAGGCGTGTACAAAGTGCTGCATTCTTTCCGACGTCGAGCAACGTCGAAGTTGTTGGGGAAGGTAGGTGAGCTGAGGGGTGCCATTTGTGTGTTCAAAGTACGCTTAAAAAAATGATGACGCCAGCATCGCCATTTGTACGGAATTGTGAATGATGATGGGCACAGAATCCGTCAACCAAAGAAAGATTGAGCAAATCTTTACAGTGCTAGCCAGACCACATTAGACAAAATCATAGATTGGCATGACTTGTAATTTTGAACATTGCGAACATGTACATTTCGCAATGCGTTCTTCGCAGCCATCAGACGCGCTCGAAAAAAACCTTTGCGATTTCAGGATTTGGTCTCAATTCAATTCTTCAACGGTCTCAATTCAATTGTTACTATTAAGGCCGGCATTTGTCCTGAGGGACAGCTCGTCGCCGGCAATGTGTTCGAAGTGCTGCATTCGACGTCGATCGACGTCAGAAGCTCGACGTCAAACGACGTCGATCTCCGACGTCAAAACTACGTCGAAACTACTTTGCACACGCCTTAATCCCACCTTGATTCCTTCCCGTTAGAAACGCTATCACAACAGCTCGTCAGCTTGTGTCACACACACTAACGTGCTACTGAATTAGCGACTCGTACGGTGTAGGACGACTCGCGATAGTACGTCGTTTGTAATTAGTTTATTTGTCGCTAACGTAATGATGGGGTCCTTTCCAGAGTCTTTCTACATGTAGCGAGCATGTGTCCAAATTATTATATTTCGCAAATAGGTGACTCCACCGCCTCCAACATGTATCGCTAGAACCACGAGCACGCACCCGTGGACCAATCGTGCTATTAATAGCGATAGAGAATTCTCCGCGCAGCGATGCACGAGCGGGAAGCGGAGTGGCTGCTGAAGGCGGAGAGGAGGGCGGCGAGCAGCGCTCGCCAAGTCGCGCCCCCCGCTAGCCCTGCTCAACGCGGCACACAAACACCGCCCTCCTCCGGCAGTGTCGTGTCGCCATCCGTCATCGCGCTATCGACCCCCCTCTCGCCCCCGCACGCGCCCTCACACGAACCACCGCCGCCAGCGCGCCACCTTGCTCCCTTGCACAGCCCCACTCCCGCGCACGCCGCCGCTGACGCCAGCCCGTCGCCTCGTGGCCCGCCTCATGGCGCGTCGCCCCTCGCGCCTCTCGCGCAGCAGGGTGCCCGCGGTGACTCCAAGCCATCGCCGTCGCGCCACGTGCAGCGCGTGTTCGTGTCGCTCATCGTGGTCTTCGCCGCGTCGCTGCTGCTCCTCTCGCAGCTCCCCTTCATTATGTCCGTGCTGTCCCCCTTTTTGTCGCCGTTCGATATAAGCGTGGAGGAGGCGGAGCAGGTGGAGCAGGCGGGGGCGGCGCAGGTGGGCGGCGTGTGGTCGCAGCTGCGGCAGCACCGCGGAAGCCTCGCGCTGCTCTTCCTCACGCGCGGCCCCATCCCCCTCGCCCCGCTCTGGGAGAAATTCCTCCGGGTGCGTCGCTGCCTCGTGCGCCTCCCCCCTGCGGCCCCCCTCTTCGTGCGTCCCAGCTCGTGCCTCCCCCCTCGTGCCTCCCCCCTCGTGCCTCCCCCCTCGTGCCTCCCCCCTCGTGCCTCCCCCCTCGTGCCTCCCCCCTCGTGCCTCCCCAATCGTGCGTCCCCCCATGCCACATGCGCCATGCCCCATGCCTCATGCGCCATGCCCCATGCCTCATGCGCCATGCCCCATGCCTCATGCGCCATGCCCCATGCCTCATGCGCCATGCGCGACGCAAAAAGTGGCATGTTGATTGCATGAGCGGTACTAGGTAAGCAATCATATTCTCTTGAGATTTATGGACGCCTTTTCCTGTCTTGCCACTCACATCACATGCATATCGCCCTCTATCGCACTGTGTCGAACCCCCTTCCCCCCCCAGCCTCCTTTACACACTCTCCCTCCCCCTCCCCCCCAAACGTCCCTTTTCACTTCCTCCCCTCCCCCTCTTCCCCTCTCCCCCCTCCACCGACCTGCTTCCCGTCCCCCTCCTTCCCCCCTTCTCCCCGCTCCCCCTCCTCCCCGCATCCCCCCCAGGGCCACGAGGGGCGCTACGCCATATACGTGCATGCGTCCAACACGTCCTTCTCCTTCCCGCCCGGCTCCTCGCCCCTCTTCCGCGGCCGCCTCGTGCCGGGTGGAGAGGTGAGCCTTGTGCGCCATGGGATGATGGGCATGTGGGGTGATGGGCATGTGGGGTGATGGGCATGTGGGGTGATGGGCATGGGGGGTGATGGGCATGTGGGGTGATGGGCATGTGGGGTGATGGGCATGTGGGGTGATGGGCATGTGGGGTGATGGGCATGTGGGGTGATGGGCATGTGGGGTGATGGGCATGGGGGGTGATGGGCATGTGGGGTGATGGGCATGTGGGGTGATGGGCATGTGGGGTGATGGGCATGTGGGGTGATGGGCATGGGGGGTGATGGGCATGTGGGGTGATGGGCATGTGGGGTGATGGGCATGTGGGGTGATGGGCATGTGGGGTGATGGGCATGTGGGGTGATGGGCATGTGGGGTGATGGGCATGTGGGGTGATGGGCATGTGGGGTGATGGGCATGTGGGGTGATGGGCATGTGGGGTGATGGGCATGTGGGGTGATGGGCATGGGGGGTGATGGGCATGTGGGGTGATGGGCATGTGGGGTGATGGGCATGTGGGGTGATGGGCATGTGGGGTGATGGGCATGTGGGGTGATGGGCATGGGGGGTGATGGGCATGTGGGGTGATGGGCATGTGGGGTGATGGGCATGTGGGGTGATGGGCATGTGGGGTGATGGGCATGTGGGGTGATGGGCATGTGGGGTGATGGGCATGTGGGGTGATGGGCATGTGGGGTGATGGGCATGTGGGGTGATGGGCATGTGGGGTGATGGGCATGTGGGGTGATGGGCATGTGGGGTGATGGGCATGTGGGGTGATGGGCATGTGGGGTGATGGGCATGTGGGGTGATGGGCATGTGGGGTGATGGGCATGTGGGGTGATGGGGCATGTGGGGTGATGGGCATGTGGGGTGATGGGCATGTGGGGTGATGGGCATGTGGGGTGATGGGCATGTGGGGTGATGGGCATGGGGGGTGATGGGCATGTGGGGTGATGGGCATGTGGGGTGATGGGCATGTGGGGTGATGGGCATGTGGGGTGATGGGCATGTGGGGTGATGGGCATGGGGGGTGATGGGCATGTGGGGTGATGGGCATGTGGGGTGATGGGCATGTGGGGTGATGGGCATGTGGGGTGATGGGCATGTGGGGTGATGGGCATGTGGGGTGATGGGCATGTGGGGTGATGGGCATGTGGGGTGATGGGCATGTGGGGTGATGGGCATGTGGGGTGATGGGCATGTGGGGTGATGGGCATGTGGGGTGATGGGCATGTGGGGTGATGGGCATGTGGGGTGATGGGCATGTGGGGTGATGGGCATGTGGGGTGATGGGCATGTGGGGTGATGGGCATGTGGGGTGATGGGCATGTGGGGTGATGGGCATGTGGGGTGATGGGCATGTGGGGTGATGGGCATGTGGGGTGATGGGCATGTGGGGTGATGGGCATGGGGGGTGATGGGCATGTGGGGTGATGGGCATGTGGGGTGATGGGCATGTGGGGTGATGGGCATGTGGGGTGATGGGCATGTGGGGTGATGGGCATGTGGGGTGATGGGCATGTGGGGTGATGGGCATGTGGGGTGATGGGCATGTGGGGTGATGGGCATGTGGGGTGATGGGCATGTGGGGTGATGGGCATGTGGGGTGATGGGCATGTGGGGTGATGGGCATGTGGGGTGATGGGCATGTGGGGTGATGGGCATGTGGGGTGATGGGCATGTGGGGTGATGGGCATGTGGGGTGATGGGCATGTGGGGTGATGGGCATGTGGGGTGATGGGCATGGGGGGTGATGGGCATGTGGGGTGATGGGCATGTGGGGTGATGGGCATGGGGGGTGATGGGCATGTGGGGTGATGGGCATGTGGGGTGATGGGCATGTGGGGTGATGGGCATGTGGGGTGATGGGCATGTGGGGTGATGGGCATGTGGGGTGATGGGCATGTGGGGTGATGGGCATGGGGGGTGATGGGCATGTGGGGTGATGGGCATGTGGGGTGATGGGCATGTGGGGTGATGGGCATGTGGGGTGATGGGCATGTGGGGTGATGGGCATGTGGGGTGATGGCATGGGGGGTGATGGGCATGTGGGGTGATGGGCATGTGGGGTGATGGGCATGTGGGGTGATGGGCATGTGGGGTGATGGGCATGGGGGGTGATGGGCATGTGGGGTGATGGGCATGTGGGGTGATGGGCATGTGGGGTGATGGGCATGTGGGGTGATGGGCATGTGGGGTGATGGGCATGTGGGGTGATGGGCATGTGGGGTGATGGGCATGTGGGGTGATGGGCATGTGGGGTGATGGGCATGTGGGGTGATGGGCATGTGGGGTGATGGGCATGTGGGGTGATGGGCATGTGGGGTGATGGGCATGTGGGGTGATGGGCATGTGGGGTGATGGGCATGTGGGGTGATGGGCATGTGGGGTGATGGGCATGTGGGGTGATGGGCATGTGGGGTGATGGGCATGTGGGGTGATGGGCATGTGGGGTGATGGGCATGTGGGGTGATGGGCATGTGGGGTGATGGGCATGTGGGGTGATGGGCATGTGGGGTGATGGGCATGTGGGGTGATGGGCATGTGGGGTGATGGGCATGTGGGGTCATGGGGGTGATGGGCATGTGGGGTGATGGGCATGTGGGGTGATGGGCATGTGGGGTGATGGGCATGTGGGGTGATGGGCATGTGGGGTGATGGGCATGTGGGGTGATGGGCATGTGGGGTGATGGGCATGTGGGGTGATGGGCATGTGGGGTGATGGGCATGTGGGGTGATGGGCATGTGGGGTGATGGGCATGTGGGGTGATGGGCATGTGGGGTGATGGGCATGTGGGGTGATGGGCATGTGGGGTGATGGGCATGTGGGGTGATGATGTGGGTGCATGGCATGGGGGGTGATGGGCATGTGGGGTGATGGGCATGTGGGGTGATGGGCATGTGGGGTGATGGGCATGTGGGGTGATGGGCATGTGGGGTGATGGGCATGGGGGGTGATGGGCATGTGGGGTGATGGGCATGTGGGGTGATGGGCATGGGGGGTGATGGGCATGTGGGGTGATGGGCATGTGGGGTGATGGGCATGTGGGGTGATGGGCATGTGGGGTGATGGGCATGTGGGGTGATGGGCATGTGGGGTGATGGGCATGTGGGGTGATGGGCATGTGGGGTGATGGGCATGTGGGGTGATGGGCATGTGGGGTGATGGGCATGTGGGGTGATGGGCATGTGGGGTGATGGGCATGTGGGGTGATGGGCATGTGGGGTGATGGGCATGTGGGGTGATGGGCATGTGGGGTGATGGGCATGTGGGGTGATGGGCATGTGGGGTGATGGGCATGTGGGGTGATGGGCATGTGGGGTGATGGGCATGGGGGGTGATGGGCATGTGGGGTGATGGGCATGTGGGGTGATGGGCATGTGGGGTGATGGGCATGTGGGGTGATGGGCATGTGGGGTGATGGGCATGGGGGGTGATGGGCATGTGGGGTGATGGGCATGTGGGGTGATGGGCATGTGGGGTGATGGGCATGTGGGGTGATGGGCATGTGGGGTGATGGGCATGGGGGGTGATGGGCATGTGGGGTGATGGGCATGTGGGGTGATGGGCATGTGGGGTGATGGGCATGTGGGGTGATGGGCATGTGGGGTGATGGGCATGTGGGGTGATGGGCATGTGGGGTGATGGGCATGTGGGGTGATGGGCATGTGGGGTGATGGGCATGTGGGGTGATGGGCATGTGGGGTGATGGGCATGTGGGGTGATGGGCATGTGGGGTGATGGGCATGTGGGGTGATGGGCATGTGGGGTGATGGGCATGTGGGGTGATGGGCATGTGGGGTGATGGGCATGTGGGGTGATGGGCATGTGGGGTGATGGGCATGTGGGGTGATGGGCATGTGGGGTGATGGGCATGGGGGGTGATGGGCATGTGGGGTGATGGGCATGTGGGGTGATGGGCATGTGGGGTGATGGGCATGTGGGGTGATGGGCATGTGGGGTGATGGGCATGTGGGGTGATGGGCATGTGGGGTGATGGGCATGTGGGGTGATGGGCATGTGGGGTGATGGGCATGTGGGGTGATGGGCATGTGGGGTGATGGGCATGTGGGGTGATGGGCATGTGGGGTGATGGGCATGTGGGGTGATGGGCATGTGGGGTGATGGGCATGTGGGGTGATGGGCATGTGGGGTGATGGGCATGTGGGGTGATGGGCATGTGGGGTGATGGGCATGGGGGTGATGGGCATGTGGGGTGATGGGCATGTGGGGTGATGGGCATGTGGGGTGATGGGCATGTGGGGTGATGGGCATGTGGGGTGATGGGCATGTGGGGTGATGGGCATGTGGGGTGATGGGCATGTGGGGTGATGGGCATGTGGGGTGATGGGCATGTGGGGTGATGGGCATGTGGGGTGATGGGCATGTGGGGTGATGGGCATGTGGGGTGATGGGCATGTGGGGTGATGGGCATGTGGGGTGATGGGCATGTGGGGTGATGGGCATGTGGGGTGATGGGCATGTGGGGTGATGGGCATGTGGGGTGATGGGCATGTGGGGTGATGGGCATGTGGGGTGATGGGCATGTGGGGTGATGGGCATGTGGGGTGATGGGCATGTGGGGTGATGGGCATGTGGGGTGATGGGCATGTGGGGTGATGGGCATGTGGGGTGATGGGCATGTGGGGTGATGGGCATGTGGGGTGATGGGCATGTGGGGTGATGGGCATGTGGGGTGATGGGCATGTGGGGTGATGGGCATGTGGGGTGATGGGCATGTGGGGTGATGGGCATGTGGGGTGATGGGCATGTGGGGTGATGGGCATGTGGGGTGATGGGCATGTGGGGTGATGGGCATGTGGGGTGATGGGCATGTGGGGTGATGGGCATGTGGGGTGATGGGCATGTGGGGTGATGGGCATGTGGGGTGATGGGCATGTGGGGTGATGGGCATGTGGGGTGATGGGCATGTGGGGTGATGGGCATGTGGGGTGATGGGCATGTGGGGTGATGGGCATGTGGGGTGATGGGCATGTGG